TTAGAACCAAATTGCTAAATCACCCAACCTGAAACACACACACTCTCTTTTTGATGTCTCCCCATCTTGGGCTCACCTAATTAAGTCCTGACTCATACTTCAGACGTTAGCATAGTTGTCAGCTTTCAACTCAAATATCAGCTTCCCTTCATTTATCCATCCTTTCAATACTTATTCACAGAGGCACTGTTCTACACACTTACAATCCATCAATAACAGATAAAAAGCATGGGATAGGTGGAGCTTAAGTGGGAGAAAGCAGACAGCAGCGTAATAAAATAAAGTGTGGGAGCCCGCTGGCATTTGACATGGGAAAAGTAACTTCTTCTACCATTGAGGCATTGACACAATCTATGACTCTATTTGGCTTTTCTGAGACAAGGGTCTCAACTATACAGATGAGATTGACCTGGAGCTCACTGTGTAATCCAGACTGGTTTTATGGGATTACAGGCGTGCACCACCACGCCCGGCTCAAGGATTAGTTAAGTTTGACCTTGTGATGGGAGGAACTCAGATAGTCAAAGATCTGATCTCCTCCCTAATATTGCTTGATGCTTCCTGTTGGCCTGCCTTTAAAAGGAGCTGTTTCTGTGTAATAAAGGGGACCTCTTGTCTCCACACTATTGAGTGTGCTGTCCTTTCTCAATCCTCACTCCCCAACTCAGGTACATTTGTGTTGTGACGGCTGGCCCGCCACAATAAAGTATATATAACACGTGAAAAGGTGATAAGTACCACGGGGGAGAGGGTGTCAGGGCAGAGGAGGAGACTGGGCATACAGGTGGCAGAATGGCCAGCTCAACTGCCATGCTGGTGGCCAGGCTTGTCCCTGCTGCGCAGATGACAAGTGAGCAAAGACCTAAGGTGGGAGGAGTCAGCCACATGAAGATCCAGCAGGAAACAACTGTCAGGGCACAGGCTGTAAGGTAGTGCCAGGCTACTGATGGGCTGAGGTAGACTGAGTGAAGGGAAAGCAGAAGAAATGCAATCAGCTAGGTAACGGGACAAGGACAGATCACAGTTGTTCTTTTTTCTTTGTTTGTTTTTTTCAGTTTTTTGAGACAGGGTCTCACCATGTAGTTGAGACTGACCTGGAACTCACTATGCAGCCCAGGCTGGTCTTGAACTCACAGCGATCCTCCTGCCTCAGCCTCCTGAGTGCTGGGATTACAGGTGTGCACCACCATACCGGGCAGACAAGGACAGATCATTGCAGAGCCTCATGAGAACTTTGGCTTTTACTGATCAAAAATGAAGAGCCATAAGAAAGTTCTGAGTAGATTAAACAATCCCTTTGGCTACTGTCAGAAGAACAGACTGTAGGCGTAAGAGCAGAAGACAGCCTGATGTGTTGGCACACACCTGTAGACTTAACACTTGGGAGGCTGAGACAGAAGGATTGCTCCAAGTTGAAGGCCAGCCTAGGCTACATAGTGGGCTCACAGCCAGTTTGAACTACATAGTAAGACCCTGCCCTAAAAAAAAAAAAAAAAAAAAGTGGAAAGACAGGGAGACTTGTGAAGAGGCTACTGAAATAACTCAAGTACAACATAATGCTCACATCCACAGTCTCCTGATTCCATAAGATTACTCTTCTTGTCATTTAATTATTAATCTTATTATTTAATGCCTGCCTCCTCCAGGAAGATCAGCCCAATTCCATTACTGGTCATTACAGTTGTGACAAAGCCTAACACAGGCACTCAAATACATACTGAATGACTATTAAAGCTCTCACAACATAAAATGCAAAGAACATTATTTTGGTAAACAAAATTAATTTTTGTGACAACATATTTAAACACATTATTTTCTAAAATCAACCCTCCTGCTTCCCCAAGTCTGTACACTGTCAGAATTTTCTAAATCTCAAATTGGATCATGTCATTCAAGCAAAACTTGCAATAGCCTATTACAAAGTCCAATGTTTGTTGCATTCTCTTAATATAACATCCTACCTCCCACTACGTGGGCACTCTACTGCCACCATAAAGGAGAAGAAGATAGAAGATAGTCAATACTTGTTGGATAATTCTGTTAGGTAAAATGCTAAATATCTCATACATATAAATGTATACTTTTTATTGTTTTGGGGTTTTTTTGTTTTTTTGAGGCAGGGACTCACTATACAGTTCAGGCTGGCCTTGAATTTACTATGCAACCCAGGCCGGCCTTGAACTTACAGCAATCCTCCTGCCTCAGCCTTCTAAGTGCTAGGATTATAGGTGTGCACCACCAAGCCTGGCAGGTGTTTTTTTGTTTTGGCTTTAAAAAAAAAAAAAAAAAAAAAAAACAAGGTCCTTCTATGTAGATTAGGCAGGCCTTGAACTCACTATGTGGCCCAGGCTGGCCTCAAACCTGCAATGATCCTCCTGCCTCAGCCTCCTGAGTGCTAGAATTATAGGTGTGCACCACAACAATCAGCTAATAAGTACATATTGTTTATTTCTGTAATGTATTTTATACACACACACATGCGCACACACACACAAAATACAAATACACCTCCTTTTCCTAAATTTTATTTTATCCCATTCTCCCCCTCCAGTTACCTCCCTTCCCAATGTACAAAAGCTTTGTTTCCATTTCTTCCTTCTATTTTCACTTTTTTCCTTGTCCCTTCCCTTCCTTTCTCTCCCATTCCTCCCTTGTTCCCCTCCCATGTGAACACTTTCTTCCCCCTTTTATTTTTTGAGACAGGGTCTCACTATGTCACTATGTGGTTGAGACTGACCTGGTATTCACTATGTAGCCCAGGCTGGTCTCGAACTCACAGTGATCCTCCTGCCTCAGCCTCCGAGTGCTGGGTTTACAGGTGTGTGCCACCATGCCCGGCTCCCCCATTTTTTAAACTCCCAAATTTGGAAAATTCCACTCACTAATAATAAAGTTTGGTAGTCACTGCACCAAATGGTTCCTTCCATGCTAAGACCCTGCATCAGCACCTCTTCAGTAATGAGACAGCTTTCAAGAGCAGTATGAAGTAGAAACTTTAAGAATTTTATTATTCATTTTATCTATATCAAAAACATACTATCAGCAATCTCAGTGAAATGTGTAAAACTTAACACATTCTGGTTCAAAACTGTCTCTTAAGGCAATCTCAGTGAAATGTGTAAAACTTAACACATTCTGGTTCAAAACTGTCTCTTAAGGCAATCTTGGGTCACTGAGGAAAATCTGAACACAGGTTAGACTTTGGAGGATATCACAGAATTATATTTGTGATGATGCAGAACTGTGGTTCTGTAAAGAGAATGACCTACTTTTTAGGACATCAACTGCTATGGTCTGAATGTATGTGTGTCTTCCAAAATTCAAATGTTAAAATCCTGATACCACCTAAGAAGGGAGTTGGGGCTTTTAGGAGTGATTAGCTCATGAGGGCACAGCCCTCGTAAATGGAATCAGTGCCTTTAACAAAAAGAGACCAAACAGACCCCACAAATCTGCCACCACGTCAGAGCCTGCCTTCACCAGACAGCAAATCTGTCAGAAACTTGATATGGACTGTGAAAAAACAATTTCTGTTGTGCATAAGCTACTCACTTAATGGTATTGTGTCACAGCAGCCCAAATGGACTAAGAAAGAAAACTGCCACCAAGCAGTGGGGATACTCATGATAAACACCTAAAAATGTGGAAGCAGCTTTGGAAATGTGTAATAGATAGAGGCTGGAGGTTTCAAGATTCAGGCAAGTAGTCCCAGCACTCGGGAGGCTGAGGCAGGAGGATCTACAAATTTGAGGCCAGCCTGGGCTACACAGTGAGTTCAAGGTCAGGCTGAAGTACATAGCAAGACCCTGCCTTTAAAAAAAAAGGGATGTTTGGCTAGGGAATTTTTTGTTTGGTTGTTTTTTTCTTGAGACATAGTCTTGCTATGTTGTCCAGGCTACCTTGAGCCTCCTTCCTCAGCCTTCTAAGTAGCTAGAACTAGATTTGCATGCTGGCTAGGAAATTTCTAAGCAAACTATTGGAGGTGTGGCTTGGCTTCCCTTGAACTATATACCAAGATGACAAAAAAAAGATAGAACGGATAACCAAAAGAGAAGCAAAAAATTTAAAATTTGGAAAATTACCTCAGCCTATCCAGATTAGAAAGCTTGTTCAGGACAGAACTGGGTTTAGCCAAGTAACCACCTGATAAGGAGATAAATACAGATGTCACCACCAGGAAGGCAGGTGCTGTTCATCAAGACAATGGAAAAATAACCCCAAGGCGATTCACAAGTCATCAGGACTGCCACCTCCGCCACCTCTATCACAGGCCCAGGAAAAGCCCTAATAAGAAAGACTAAGACTGGTCTGCTGATACATTTAGGGGTCAAGGTGAGGTGGGATAGAAGAAATACAAGTAGAAAGGAGATAAGGAAATCATACCTAAAAATTTCACTTTCAAGAAGACTGCAACTTGCTGGACCCAGTCCTCACCCAAGGTGATTCATATCAGCACCCCTTGGTTAAATCCGGGCTGCTTTCTTTCCAGACCCATCACAAATGGGTCCTTGCAGACCCACAATTCCTCAGGAATATGCAAAGTCTATTAATTTGTTTAAATGAGAAAGAGCAGGAGCCTGACCCTAAGATAAAAGAACAGATTCAGAGAATTCAGAAAATGCTGGGGATTTAGCTCAGTGGTTCCACCACCTGTCTTCCAAGCACAAGGACCTGAGTTCGATCCCCAGTACTTAAAAAAAAAAAAAAAAAATGCTTAAACTATCCATCTTAAAACAAAACCGGGCTCACACCTGTATTACAAGCCAGTACCCTCCAGGGGGTAGGCCACCTTTTCCCAGGGTTTTCACCCCTTGAGAGAAGCACAAATGTTCCAATTTCAGGAAATAAGGTGCCTCTTTCTCTCTCAAGGGCTTGCACTCTTATTTCTTTAGCTGTGTCATTTTTAATTTCTGCCTAATAAAACCCTTCCTGTGCTTCTTCACTGGCTAATCCTCAGAGTTTTATTTCTGCAACTGGGGGCAGCAAACCTGCACACTTACCATACAAAAAGGGTGGGTTAGCTTCCTTATCTCATCTGAGGTCCTCTGACCTGTCTGGTGACAAAAAGTCAACGTCAGAAATATATTATCAAATGGTTAAGCATAATAATAATATAAACCAAATGTGGTCAAATGTTAACAATGCTTTATTTACTCTTCTTTCAACTTTTCTGTATGTTTAAAATGCTTTGTTGCTGGGCATGGTGGCGCATGCCTATAATCCCAGCACTCGGGAGCCTGAGGCAGGAGGATTGCTGTGAGTTCAAGACCAGCCTGGGCTACATAGTGCGTTCCGGGTCAGTCTCAACTACATAATGAGACCCTGTCTCAAAAAACCGAAACAAAACAAAAAAATATTTTGTAATAAAAAGGAGAAGTTGCATACTATCATGAATTGCACATTAATGCAAATGACTGCTGCACAACCCATGAACCGATCCAGCCGTTTGGGAATTCCACTCCCTCCCTAAGGACATCCTTTCCTGCCTTGCCAGGAGCCCTGCTTGGTCATCTCTGCATTGCCCAGCATTGCTCAATAAATACCTACTCTCCAGTTCAGAAAAACTGGCTCCAGGGTCATAGCTTTCCATCCACACAGGTAAAAGGGAGCTCTACTGCCAAGCAGCACTGGGAAAACAAAGGCACTAAGGTGAGATGAGGAAAGAGCTATAGTAAGAACATTTCTAAAGGGCTCAATGGAAGTGGACAACCTGAATATCGCGGAATATCTTCCTGCATTAGCTACCAGCGGCCAAAAGCATGAGCCTTGGAGTAAACACAGACCTAGGCTCACTCCCATTCGGCCTCTTCCCAGCTGTGCCTCCTTGGATACATTTATCTGGGCCAGTCTTCCTGCACTAGCTCCACGCCAGCCACCGTTCAAGCTTTAAGCTTGTCATGACTAGTCTTCTTTCGCGTCCCTCACAAAGTGGGAATTAATGAGGACACGGTGGACATAAGAGCACTTGGTTCCTTCACTCAAGACCCCACACATGACTGCTTCGTCCCGGGCATTCTGTCCCTGACAGCACTACCAGGACTTCCAGGTCAGGAAACACACTGCGGTTTCTGCATGATGATGGCAGACCGTACACAAGCACCTCATTTTGGTCACTTCCAAAAGCCTTCTAAAACAGAAAAGGGAGTTTTTTAAAAAAATCATCAGTTCTTAGGTTAGGAAAGCCAGAAGAGGAGACAGAAATAAAAGTTTCAAAGCAGTTGGGAGATCACTGACTCGACAAATCCAAGAAAGCCAAAATGTAAACTGCCAGCACGGAAAGCTGAGAACAAGCTGGCAAAGAGTAGAGGAGCAGTTAGAAAACAGGTAGATGCTGGGATGTGATCCCTTCTTTCTTCACGGTTTTGGTAGCTCCTGCTTCCAAACCCTAACAAGTCTGTGAGTTTTTGTTTTGTCTTTGTTTTCCTAGTTCTTGTATTCTGGGCTGGGAGTTTCCAGATACAAACGACAATGGAGCCCAGGATTCAGCTCAGCGGCATTGCACCTGCTTACAAGTGCAAGGTCCTGAGTTCAATCCCCATGGTGGGGAGGGGAGAACCACATTAAAAATTTAATAAATGAGACTATGTTGAACACATAAGTTTCTTTTCAGGCTCAGAACACTGACAACAAGATCCTTTCCTCCCAGTCAGAAAAACTCTGAACCTGACAGGCTTGAGGTTATAAAAATCAGACATCAGGGTCCCCCTAACTGATGGCCCAGCCACATCATTCTGCAGGGAAAAGTCTCATCCACACCCTCAGTGTTGCCAATCACCTTTTTAGTTAATTTTGTTTATTAGCAAAGAGTCAATGAATTACTATGGCTCTAAGGAAACTTTTAACAAGAAAGATACACACAGAGAAAAAATAAGCAGCTTAACACAAACTATTCAGAGAGAGAAAACCACTGCAACCTCAGGAAAACTGGAATAAAAGCCAGGTGGCACACCTGTAATCCCAGCACTCGGGAGGCTGAGGTAGGAGGATCACTGACAGTTGAAGCCAGTCTAGGCTACAGGATGAGTTCAAAGACAGTTGAAAGTACATATCTAGACCTTGCCTCAAAAGACCAAAAACAAACAAACAAACAAACAAACCCTAGAATAGGGGTGGGGATTTAGCTCATTGGCACTGTACCTGCCTCACAAACTCAAAGTTCTGAGTTCAATCCCCCGTACCACCAAAACAAAACAAACAAACAAAAAACTAGAATAAAATGTCATTCTAAGAAATATTGAGAGATGGAAAAAAGTCTTTAAATTTAAAAACGTGACAGTAGAAACTTTAAAAAAAACACACAGAAGGGTTGGGAAATAAGAAAACAGCAATAAATACAGAAAGAAAAAAGAAAACAACAACAAATAGGTAAGAAATTAGATGGGCCGGGGATTTAGCTCAGTGGTTCCACCGCCTGCCTTGCAAGCGCAAGGACCCAAGTTCGATCCCCGGTACCAAAAAAAAAAAAAGAAATTAGAAGACCAAGATAAAAGATTCACAGATGGTCAGATATGGTACTATATACATGTCACCCCAGCAGTGTGAGACGCTGAAGCAAGAAGATCACAGTTCAAGCCTAGCCTGGGGAATTTAGTAACTTAGCAAGACTTTGTCACAAAATGAAAAAATAGAAAGGGGGCTGAGTATGTAACTCTGTGCAAAGGCCCTGAGTTCAATCCTCAATACCACAAAAAATAAATGGTATTTACTACAGGGAAAATACAAAGGAGAAAATAAGATATTTCAAGAAAGATTCCACAGAAAACATATTCTTGTATTTTGAAAATTTAAAGACCCCAGTAAATACTTAATTTAATGAATGAAAACAGATCCATACATCATTTGAAATGTAAAAAACACTGAAACTAAAGAATCAAATCTATAAGCTTACAGAGAGGTAAAAATATATATATATACAAAGGATTAAGGCGTCTTAATGGCTTGGAATTCTCAATAGCAGCACAGGAAGCAAGAGGACAATGGGGCAATAGCTTCAAAACTCTGAAGGAAAAGCACTTCCAACTATGACACCAGCCAAAACATCAGTGAAGTATGAGGACAGAATTAAAACGCACACAAACATGCAAAGGCTCCAAAAAGGGTAACTCACCCTACACTACTGGAGTTTGAGAGTAAAATCAATACCAAAGGGTACAGGATTATAGGAAAGCCCCAACAGGAGCGCTAAAGAGAAGCCAGCCGCCACCTGAGCAAAGGCCAGCCAGGAGAGCCTGGAGCACTGTGTTCAGCTGTACTCCAGCCCTGGTTCAGCTGAGAACTGGCTGCACAACGGGGGCCAGATCTCTATCTGTCCTAGGCAGGGCTGCCTTCCCTCAAGCTCCTGCTGATGCAGCTCCCGTTCCCCTGCAATTAGCAATAGCCATGCACTTTCCTCACTGACAGACTTGGCTTTGACCTTCCCTGGTAAATGCAGGTAAGAAAAGGTGAATCAAGAAGTGGGAATGCAGAGTAACCAGCTCCCTGACCCTATCTCTGCTGTCCTTTCAGTACCTGGTCCTTTACACACCCCGAGAGATGAACCCTATCAACTACAACTTCCTCCCAATACCACCCAACTTCTTCAGAAAGGACCCTGTTTCAGTCAGGGGGGCTGAAGCCATTCTGTTCAGCTCTTCTCTTCCTGGAAGCCTTTATCAGTGACAAGTATCCTCGCCTTACACAGTCAAGTTGGAAGTTATAAAATACAAGCATTTACTCTCAAATTTGAGAATCTCTTCTATTTTGTAATAAGCCTACTTGGAGCTTATCTGTGTTCAAGGAGGGGACACAATTTTCTTATCAGTTTACTTGAGCAATCGCTATTAATAAAGATGCAGACAGTTTACAGTCCTATAAAGGCTTAACTGCAGAAATTAATAAGGTATTTTATAGCCTGGTAGAGAACATTAATCCTAAAATATTGTGCTTCTGTTGTCCTGGAAAACATTAACCTGTTTCATTTAATTTAGCAATCGCTTTTAGGGGAAATTAATGGGGACTGAATTCAGGTTCTTCATACTGAGTTACATCCCTACCCCCGCCCCTTTCATTTTTCTGTTTTGAGACAGGGTCTAACCAAGTTACCCAGACTAAGCTCAAACTTGCAATCATCCTGCCTCAGCTTCCTAGACAGCTGGAATTACAGGCATGTGTCACTATACTCAGGTAATTCAGCATTTTTACTGAAACATTCCTTTCCCCCTATGAACTATATATCTATTCCTTTCTCTTAAAACTAGCTCTTTAATTCTTGGGCTTTTTTGTTGTGTTTTTGTTTGTTTGTTTGTTTTTTGGTTTTTTGAGACAGGGTCTCACTATGTGGTTGAGACTGACCTGGAACTATGTAGCCCAGGCTGGTCTCAAACTCAAAGTGATCCTCCTGCCTCAGCCTCCTGAGTGCTGGGATTACAGGCGTGTGCCACCACATCCTGCTTATTTAATTCTTAATAAGTTGAATAAACCCAGTAAACATACTGTTGGCATGGAATTTTAACACTACTCACTCAAAAGTAAATATATTATTTAGGATATAGGGATGTATATGTATGCATTTATGATTATGTATACGTAAATATTTGTGTAATGTATAAATATATGTATGTATATTTATGCTTAATGTGAAGCTTATTTCAAATGCAGAAGAAAGATTAACACAAAAAAACAATAAGAGCTTCCTCTGAGATAAAAATGCATCTTCTCTGTTAATCTCATAGTGGGCAATAGTGATCACTGCAAAAGTACTTTTAAAATATTTTAATATATGTTTATACTTTTCTGGTAGTTAAACTAGAGTTTGCATATTTTTATTTGATTTGATTTTTTTAGTACCAGGAATTGAACTCAGGTCCTTGTGCTCGCAAGGCAGGTGACACCACTAAGCTAAATCTCCAGCCCATTGTATTTTTAATTAAAGAACAAGTGTTTCTGTTATCACTGTACACTGAAAGAGATTGCTACAGAAGTGTGAACACAAAATATGTCTGCTCACATTTTCTCTTCCTGAAATAAGGGCAACACCACTCAGTAGCAACAAAGTTAGTAAATGTGCTATTATCTA